GTAGTAGTAGTAGTAGTAGTAGTAGTAGTAGTAGTAGTAGTAGTAGTAGTAGTAGTAGTAGTAGTAGTAGTAGTAGTATTAGTAATGTTGGTGCCCTAGCAGCTTACCTCCAAGACAGGGCCTCGCTCCTCACCGACCATGTGTATCTCATCAATGATGATGAGTGCGATGTCGCGCACATAGGCACGCTGACGCCACATGCGAGAGATGCCGTCCCACTTCTCCGGCGTCGTCACGATCACATCCGCTCTGCGCAGGATACCGATGTCGGGAGTCACGTCACCCGTCAGTTCAACGACCCTGTCAATTTTTAGAAAATGCTGGATAGATACAAAGTCTTAAGTTGATAAATTACACGCACAGACGAGGCCTAAGTCAACGGTGCAAGCACCCAAGCACAGAAGCCTGCATGGAACGCGTTAAGCGCTCAAACAAGCACACACCAGGGAGGCTTTTTGAGGAATTTTAAGTAGGTATTTCAGTAGAACATGAGGGAGGTTCCAATTACGTGCTTGTGCTGTGTGGTGTAGGGTGTGGTCATGATTGTTGTAGGTGTTGGTGGGCCGGAACGGTGTGGTGGTATGGTATAGCTGGCGGTGTTCTACCACACGTTTGATGGAGGCGCATGTGGTCCAATGAGCCCATGCGATGGCCGAGCACGCGAGGGCAGTCCGGGAAATTGCAGCGATGACGTCCGGTGTTTGTCAGTGCTCCAAGCACTGTACGTTGGGTTCGCAGGTGACTGACCAGGCCACTGCGTGAGGCGGACGTGCAGTGACAATGTGGACGGGATAGGTTGCGGGGCGTTGGGTCGGTTGTCGTTGTGATGCTGCTAGTGGTGGGCGCGCTGGGAATTTGATTGGACTGAAGATAGGAGGGATGGATGCGCAGGGGGGGGGGGGCATAAGATGCGTCGATACCGCAGTGGACCGCGCTGTTGTGAATGCCCGTGTGGCCGAATAGGCCCATGCGCTGTATGAATGTGCTTGAGCGATGTGGACAGAGAGGGCAGATGCGCCGACTGCAGGTGGGGGCTGCTGGCATAGGTGCGCCGGACTTGAAAGTGACCGAACAGGATGATGCGGGATGATGATCGCAGGGCGGACAGGTCAGGACAGAGTCCACAGGGCAGGAGATTGGGGTAGTTGGTGGGTTGTCGGTGGTAAGAGTGGGTGCTGTGGTCGTCGTCGCCGTCGCCGCGGAGGTTGCGGCAGGGATGGTAGAGACGGTGCTGACAGACGGCAACCACCCTACCACCAACACCACGCACCACCATCACCACAATGAATACCAGTCCCACCACACCACTAATACAATCATAATCGTTACCACCACCACCACCGCCACCACTGCCACCAGAAAGTTAGACTGGGCTTTACCTTTTTCCAAGCTTCTCTCCAATTTTAACAGACCAGTCGTCGACCCGTTCACGAACGAGGGCTTTCAGTGGTGCAATGTAGATGCACTGCAAAGAAAGAGAAAAAGAATAATCAAAATGAAGCAAAAAAGTGAGTCAGTCTGAGGTAAAAGACTATGACATCCGCAATCGTGAAGACACAGTCCCCGTTGAAAATTACCTCAACGAACAAAAGCGCATGGTAGCCCGCAAGACTGAGAGATAAAGGGTTACCTTGACGACCTTTTCGGACCATTCGGCAACTTAAACCTACCAGGAAGAGAGCAATCCGAAATGTTAAATGTCCTTCTAACAAATGCTGTGGCCGCTAGTGGAGGCTGGCGCAGTCCAAAGGCCACAATTGGAGAGCAAAGTGCGGTGGCTGTTTAAGAAAACGGTTATAACACAAAAAACTGCAAGTCGCTTGGAGGAACAAGAGGGAGAATAAACGCAAAGCACTGAGAAAACTCAAAGGATTCTTTTGCCAGCTTAACCAATCGGCACATCTGCCCCGCATATAGCACTTAACAAACACCAAGGCAAATTCATCGGAAGTATCACCCCCACAGATTCAACTGGCCTGCTAGAATTTGGTGATGTGGTACGGCCGGCTAACAATGTCAGATAAAGCCGGTCTCGGCAGCGAGCCCTTGGCCCAGTGTTAAGAGGCGTTGGACTTCCAACCAACAGGTCGCGGGATCCAGTCCCAGGTGTTCCACGTTTTAAGGATGACTGGCTAACGACGGCTACTAAGCCAGAAATGACCCTTCCAGTCTCCCTTGCCTTTGTCGGTCATGCTACTCCGATGTCAGATAAGGCCGAAGAGGTCGCTCCAAATACCCTATTTGTCTATTTCGACCTCGTAGGGACGACCAGATGGGGGGGGCCGAAATGTTCTCACAATCTGCTGCTTTTAAAACGCAGAAGAGACAACGGGGTCTGCAGGACTGACAAGGTTTCAGAACAAACCTTCTTTTTTGGCGCAGTATTGAAGACGCGTAGTATTGCCAACTCGGCCGCAACTGTCTTGCCCGACCCGGTCGGTGAACCAAGCAAAATATTTACATCCTGGTGGTAGAGGGAATGAAAGATC